CACGCATGGCCATGGCCCACCAAAAGGTAGAAGAAAGCTTTCAGAGTAATCTTCCATGACGTCATGGCTTTCCCAGCCGAAGAAGCATAAGCCGACCCCGTCGCCGAGCCACCAACAATCACAAACCAGCAAACACCATGATCACGCCGCCGGCGAATGAAGCCTAACCACCGACCATGCCACGAACTACTTAAACTGAACCCCATAACGAGAAAACACCAGCAACAACATCGACGATTGAATACCCAACAGAAAAGGTGTACCCCAAATTTCTTCACCACAGGCCAAGAAATCTGTAACGACCCAAAACTAAATACCAATTATCAAAAAAAATTAAAAATTTGGCATGACCTCTGCTAAAAAGGAGCCTACAACCACCTACTTAAATAAATAAAAAAATGCAATGGCCCTTCCTGGCCCTTCAAGACTTATCTAAGCTGTCCCAACACACAATACAAAAATAATAATAATAATAAATAAAATAATACATTCAAGCATCCATTTCATTCATTCATTAAACCTCAACATAATTCATCTCATAGTAGAACATCCACATACCATTTAATCCAATGATCATAATTACAGTCCCAAAATACAAGGTTAAGATCAAATGTCCATGCTTTACAACATTTAGACAACTTATATAAAATTACAGCCCATACATATAATTACAATAATAAGAGTCCATAAGTTTTCGTACAAAATACATTATGTTAAGTTTTACAAAAAAATAGTGAGACTTAGATACAAAAATAACAAAATGATCATCTAATCCAAGCTAGGCCTGTGGTGGAACGTCATCCGCCATTTCTTTTCCGTGTCCTGAAAACTATTAAATAATAGGGTGAGCAATTTGCTCAGTAGGCGGTGCCTAAGACATAAATCTTGTAGCCCCATGAATTCAAATATTGAATAGGGATAAAGAATAGGGATCATTCTAAACCGGGAAAAACACGACATAAATTTCTCAAGTCCAAGACTAACAAATTTCCATGCCATGAATGCAATGCTATGCATGTCACTCCCCATTTTCAAATTCACTTCAAAAACTTAACTTTTCAAACCGTTAACCCGTCCCTCGGTACCCCCTTAGCGACACGAGAGAAGGATTAGCCACTGTCCCTGACCCTTGGTAACTCCGCAGCGTTATTTGGGGCCCAGTTGGCTCAACCACGCTAGGGCGATCTCCCTAGTTCTCTCTAGGCTACATTAACGCCACGGACCCTTGGTACCCCCTTGGCTTCCGGGTTTTTCACTAAAATCCTTTTCTCAAATAGGTTTCCCAAAACCCCTTTTAATTATTCATTTCAAAACATTTCCCTTCCTTCATTGCCCAATGACATGCATGTATGTCTCATGCCTACAACATTATAGAATAAAAGATTTTCATATAATACAATAAAACATTATTTATCATAATTTCTAGGATGATCATACATGTTTGCATACAACACTTCTAGCAATTTAACAACACAATAAATATAGGAAATTAATACTTAAACATGCTTTTCGTACAAATCAACATTTATATATAATCATGAAATTTATATACCACCATAAAATCATTCTAGGGTAATTAATATCAATTAATCATGCTAATAACATCAATTAATCATGCTAATAACAATTAACAGAAATTAACTCACAAAGGAACAAGAAAAATGCGAATTAGAGACCCCTACCTCAATCTAAGCCAAAAGCCCCAATTTTCACCTCAAACCCTAGGATTTAGAGATCCTTCAAATGATGGCCAAATGAAGATTGGCCCTAATCAACTCGTAGACCTCGTCACGGGTTTCAATTTGCTTCAAACGGCACTTAAAAACACCAAGAATTGAGAGGAATCAAAATTTGAAATGGTAAAAAATAAGAAAAGAAGAAAGCAAGGAGAGAGAGAGCTCTGTCCCGAGTCTGAAGAGAGAAATGGCTAAAAAAAATTATGTATGGTGATATAAAATGTGTTTAGTGCTTTGTGGGGACCACTCAAAAAAACAAATATCACTTTTATACTTTTGCAAAATTAATAAACATTACAAAATCAAAGATCTGATCATCCCACGAGGAGAACCCAAAGTTGCTGGCAACCGCAACCGAAAAGTAAGAGAAATTGATGTCACCGACCAAGCCCGAAACGGTGAAGTGTTCACCCGGAAAGAGAAGTGAGACAAACTAAGAAATCTGGAAGGCAAATCACACGAAGATAAAATTAACACCAACATAAAAACACAAAAACTCATAGCGATACCCGGGTCGAAAGGAAAAGTTTGCACTGATTGGTCTTCAAGTCATCCAAAACGTCGAACCCCCGGCGTTACATCTCGCTGTGCACTTTTGCCGTTCCGGCAAAGAGAGAAAGGAAAAGCCAAGATCACCAAAAAGGAAACCATCAGAAACAAAAGAACTATGACAGAAGCACACCAAATGAAACGATCTACAAGCGTAATAGAGACAAGGAAAGAGAAGGAAAGGAGAAAGAAAAACAGACCAAGAGGAAATCTAGAGACAACACACCGACAAGCAGAGAACCTCTTAAGAAAAGAAGAACCCCCTATGCAAAGGGGAATCTCCCTAAGATGAGAGACCTCCTTATCATTAGTTGGGCATTGATATATTTGTAACTATATATTCAATAAAAGCATATCCTTCTCCAGCTACAATATAACTCTCTCTCTATTTCAATCTTCTCTTTTCTTCTCATTATTTACCCTCTTTTTCTAGGATTTTGGTGTTTTTTTTTTTTTTAAAAAAAAAAAAATTAATTCCCAAAAACTTTTGGTTGAGTCTTCTGTGAACTTTATAAATCTCAACATCTACAAGTGGATTCTTTGTTTAACAATAAAATTCATTTTCTCACATACCATTGTTTCTAAATTTCTAATCTGAATTGCAATTTAAAATGCCCTGTTTAAGAAAACTACTTCAGTTTCATATAAATTTGCTAATCTATTGCTTATAGCTTGATTATCAAAATACATTCATACATATTATCAGTTGCTTTATTTTATTTGGTAAAATTAACCCTTTTGATTTAAGGGTAAAGTGCAGAAAACCCCCCTGATATATAGACGTTGTGTAGAACTAGTCCCTACTTTTTGAAAAAGTGCATACAAGTCCACAAAATTCAGAAAATGTGCATAACTAGTCCCTCTGACCACTTTTAAAACTTAAAACCCCATTTTACCCTTTTGTTTCCCATTTTGCCCCTCACTTTTTGTGCAGAAAAGACCCTCAACATTGTGCATAAAAGGCCCCCCACCCCTAAACCCAATTCGTTTGTGTGTGTGTGTGTGTGTGTCTCTCTCTCTCTCTCTTTCCATGTATGTCTGCACTCTCTCCCTCTCTCTCCCCATGCATGTACTCTTGCAATAAAGCAGCAACTCTCTCTCTCTTCTCCATTTCTTCATTTCTTTCTTTGTATTATTAATTGTCTCAAAAAAAAAAAAATTTCATTTACTCCAAAACATGCCATCATCTTCAAGCTCAAGAAGCCATTGTTACCCATATGGGAGGTCAGTGAAAGAATATTATTGTAAATGTGGAGTTAAAAGTCCTTTGAAGGTGTCATCTACCCAAAGAAATCTTGGTAGAAGGTTTTACGGGTGCGCCAACTACAGGACTGGTTTATGTGGTTTTTTGAGGTGGGAGGATGAAGAATTGGCTGATTATTACCGTAAATTGATTTGGGATCTTATAACAAAGATACGAGAGTTGCGGGACTTACAAAGAGCTGATTCTCCATTAGTTGGTCAAGCTCCAACCATGAATGTGAATGATGGCAGGCTTTTGGAGATGGAAAACATGATAGTAGAATTAAGACAAATGAAGCATACAGGATATACCCAACCTAAAAGAAGATGCTTACCTCAGTTTAATGGTTCCATTCTCAATTTTCTTTTTGGGTTCTTTACTTGTGTTGTATTGTTCAAGCTAGTAATGTGAAACCTTGTAAACAAAAACATGTTTTCTGGTTCTTTACTTGTGTTACCTATTCGAATGCAAGTATAACATGTTTGAATGCAAGTATAACCTGTTTGAAAGCAACTGCAACCTGTTTGATTTTAATTTTTTAAATGTAACTACATCCTGTTTTAATGCAAATATTGTACCCAACAACACTCACATATACAGACCTACTGCACCACCCATTCAATGGTGACCAACCATTCAATAAATGACCAACTATAGCCTGCACCACACATTCAATGACATCATTCAATAAGTTAAATAATCACAACCACCAACAACATAGACATTCATAATTTACGCAAAAAAAAAAAAAAAAAAAAAAAAAAAAAAAAAAAACACACATATATTGCCCCATAGTTCCCAAACAACATACATACCTAGATATTGCTCCACAGTTCCCCAACAACATAGACACATACAATACATAAATATTGTAGCTCCATAGTTCCCCAACAACACAGACACATACAATACATACATAAATATTGTAGCTCCATAGTTCCCCAACAACACAGCACATACATACATACATATTACTGTCCATATCCAGTCAACCAGATATTAAAAACAAAAAAAATAGTTGTCTATTTGTTAATCCATGAATGAAATACACAAAAAATTACTTCAGATTTACCATACAAGTCATATGTTGTCCAGTAACTATCCACTAGCAAAAGGTAACACCTTGGACTGAAGTAAATTGAAACTTGGATGAAACAAAGGCAACAGTTTTAGAGAGTGGAATCTGCAACAAATAAGTGGTACAAAATAATTAAAACTGCCCTAAGAAAGTATGTGTTTTGAATGGAAAAGAAGTAAAATTAAAAATTCATTTACCTAAAACCACCAATCTTGGCTTTCTTGGGTACCATTCCCTAGTGTATGTGGCATGTCAACATTCTGAGACTAAGAAACATTGATAACCTATAAAGAAGGTAAAGTTAAAGTTAAAGTTGAGTTGACAACACTTGTAAAACAAAAACAAAAACTAATATAAATCAATGCATATACCTCACTGTTGATCCCTGTGGCTATCACTGGGACTCAGTCAAGTTGCCTGCACCAATGTCAACATTTACAGCCCTATGACTGCCACCATCCCTGCCTCTCACACCACCTCTACCTATGCCATTCCTACTCCCAACACCATTGCCTCTTACTAAAGTCCTTCCCATAGCATGGTTAGTCCCAACACCACCACTACCAGTCCCCATAGTAGTGCCACCCACACCTCTTAGTGAAGTATTTCCCAACACATTGTTACTCCCAACACTTCTACCAATGCCAATCCTACTCCCAACACCATTGCCTCTCACTAAAGTACTACCTCTCACTGAAGTACTGCCCATAGCATTTTTACTCCCAACACCACCACTGCCAGTCATATTCATCCCCATAGTAGTGCCATCAATACCTCTACCACTCCCATTAAAAACAGTTTCAGTAGCCTTTTGAACATGCAATACTCCAAGTTGAGGGTTTTTAGGTCTACCTCATTTGCTTTTAGGTGGTCCTCTCTACACTTGTTCATTTTTGCAAGTCCTTGAGTTGTGACCAGTTAATTGACATTTTCCACAAATAAGGTGAGCCCTTTATTTGTACACATGTTTTCCACTTGATGTACCTTCATCATGAGCTTTCTTCCTCACTTTCTTTGGCCTGCCTGGGGGTTTCCTAGCTATAGGAGGAATTATTGGAACCACCCCAGTTACTTCTCTCATATTTCTCAATGTCATTGGATATATCATCCCTGCATATGACTTCAAAAATGTTTCTCTGTAAAAGTATGGGTTAACAGACTCTTCAAGAACTGCCCATCTTCTCTTTTGTATAGCTACGCATGCATGCTTGCATGGGATACCTTTGATATCCCATACCCTACAACTACAGCTTTTTTCATGTGAGTCAACAATTTCATTCATTCCTCCATCTTCAACCTCATAAATGGCTTTTTCAGAGAGGTGAGCAGGACAACTCATTGAGTTCCTCTTGTTCAGTTTTAGCTGAGCTGCTGGAGATGGACACAACAACCCATTTTTCCCCTCCATGTACTCTTTTTTCTCTGGATACCTCCTCAACAAGGACTTTCTGATCATTTCAAGCATGGTGATAATGGGCTTATCTCTAGCCTTTAGTGTGTATGAATTCCATGATTCACACATACTATTGTTGTTAAGGTCACACTTTGACCATTCTGTGTACTTACACTTAGCCCACAGATGAGGGGGTATCTTGGCTAACCAATCATATGCATCTGTGTTAACTTCCCTGATTCTCTGCATGTGTCCCTCAAAGTCTACCACTGTGAAAGAATTTGCTACATCCCATAACTCTTGCTTCAACTCTAACCTTGGGAACTTCTTTTTGAAGTTGTCATACATGTGCCTTACACAAAATCTGTGATCTGACCCAAGCTTCTCAAGTGTGTTAACCAAACCCTATAATAAAATCATAATATTACTATCAGTAAATGCAGTTTTATACTATCAGTAAATGCAGTTTTAAAACTAAAATACTTTGCTAACATAAACTAAAATACTTTGCTAACATACCTTTTGTCTGTCTGAAATGAATGTTATTGGTTTGTAGGGGCTGAGCAAATCCATGAGGTTAGCCAGAAACCAATCCCAAGTCTCCTTTGTCTCTGCTTCCACAATACCAAATGCAATGGGATAGAAGCTATTGTCCCCATCTTTACCAATAGCACTTAGTAAATGTTGATTGTAATGAGTTTTTAGAAAGCAGCCATCTAAGCCAATGAATGGCCTACAACCCTCTTTAAAGCCTTTCCACATTGCATCCAATGAAAAAAACTGCCTTTCAAACCTTATAGACTTCCCATCTGGCTCCAAACATGCATCAACCCTAGCAACACTTCCAGGATTTGTCTCCAATACTAACTGACAATACTCTCTGATTTTTGAGAATTGATCTTCATGTGTGCCATCAATCATCAGTTGACATTTCCTCTTTGCCCTATAAATTTTGAACCTACTAACTACCAGGTTCAAATCATCAGTAATCTGACCCATAAAACCAGAATTTTTCCACTCAGGGTCCCTCCTAAACTTATGCACATACTTATTGGCAAGATAAGAAGATGTTCCTAGTTTGCTTGTTTGAACTTCAGAGTAGTTGTGTTCATCATTGAATGTACTAATCACAATGGCACCATTTGACTTTCTCTTTGAAGCATGTATCCTCTACCCACAGTCATTTCTACATTTACATGTGACCCTTTGTCCATCATTTTTAACAAACTTGATGTCATATTTGTTCTTTATAGCGTGCTCTCTCAACATATCTTTGAATTCTGCAAATGTAGCAAACTCCATTCCCACCATTAATATTTTTTCCTTCTCTCCCATTTCCCTCCTAGCAATGAATTCTGATTTTTTGCAAGGAACATGTATCTCATCATCTGAGTCACTATGGATACTTCTTAGCTCATCACTTAGTGCATAAACTGAGACATCATCTAACTCTTCAGTATTTTCCCCATCATATATTTCATCCTCTTCATTAACTGAGACATCATTGTGCACATTCTCTTCAACACTTGCAGCCTGCACATGGTCACTGTTAGGCTGCACATGATCATTGTTAGGCTGCACATGATCACTGTAAAGCTACACATGGTCACTGTTAGGCTGCACATGATCACTGTTAGGTTGCACATAGTCACTGTTAGGCTGCATAGGGTCACTGTCATCCATTGATTGGGTTAAGTATTCTGTCCACTTATGCAGAACTTGTGCACTTAAACTATAATCCTCATTCTCAGTATTAGTGACATAAATCTTAATCAAAGATGACCTGTTGTAGGCCATAAACATCTGCATAACAGTCCCATCATTAATTATCTGTATCAACTGCCCACCAATAGGATCTCTGTAGAACATTTTATTCTCACCCAACTGCAACATATCCACCATGTCTTCCAATTCAAAGTAAGACATCATGTTAGGGTCCACATTGTCAACCAGCTCTATGCTACCACCAACATAGTTGTTACGTTGATTCAACTTTCCCGAATGATGGAACTGAAGTATGTATGTCTTCCTCATTTACTAAACAACCATACAAATATAAGCTGTCACAAACCACAACTATATATGCTTCTGTCACAAGCATGCATGCATATCAGAGCAGGATCTAGTGATCCGTCATGCAATATGCATGTCATGCACTAAAAAACAATGTTAGTGTATAAATAATATATAAATAATAAAAAAACATGGACCCAACATCACATATAGAAACATTCTATCAAAAGTATAAACAAAAAAAAAAACAAAATTATTCCGAGGTACTGTTTATAGCACTTGGAGCCAACATAAAACTTAGCATTTTCTATACACATGGGACACAATAGTTTACAAAACCCTAACAAGTCAATTAACCCACAATAATGCATTGGACAAACCATAAAGGCAAGGGACCACTATTGTTTACAAAACCCTAACAATAAATTAATAAAGTCAATCAACCCACAATAATACATTGAACAAAGCATATGTGCATATAAAAATTCAAACTTTATAGTATAAAACCCCAATTTAATGGACACCAGATGATCATATTTGGCATATATGGGTCACAATCATGCATTGGGTCACACAAACATATATATATACTGAATCTATAGGCAAAAAGCACAAATGGACCAACCTACTGACAAACCCCTAACACCACTGAATCGTACATACATGACACAAACATATATAAATGCCAAAATTGCAAGAAAAAATGATAAACCCACTATTGTTTACAAACCCACTATATGACATGACAAAAACCTTAACTGTTAAGAAAGAGATACGGAAAAAATTAGAAAACCCTAACAAATATTGAAACAAAATCGACCATGCATGCATACACGATTTAAGAACAAAATCATAACAAACACAAACAATTTACAAGACAAATCAGAAAACCCTAATAAATGTTGAAACAAAATCGAACCAAATCTAACACTCAGCGAGTTTACAAGTCTTTACCGCACAAGATTTTACACAAATCTAACACAAATAACACGATTTAAGAACAAAATTTTGATTTAAGAACACTTACGACACGAAAGAGTCTTCACAGCATAACAGCACAATCGATCTTTCACCGACTTTACAGCTCTTGCAAGTTATCTTCAACCGATCAACAAACAAATACACAGATTGAATCAATTTGGAGAACAAATACACATGAAAACGGGTTAGGGTTTCATAACACTAAGGAATTTAGACTCAGCCTCTTTCGTATACGATGCACACTTAGGGTTGAAATGGTTAAGTATGTTTTATATAGTTGGGGCATGTTTGGTTTTACATTTAAATATATTCAGGTTTATGTTATCCCTGTTTTATACAATTTGAGGTTTATTTTATCCTTCTGCCAAACAAACACCATTTTACACAAATTTGGACAAAAAGGTCATTTTACATGGCCTGTATTTATAATCATTAATTTATTCAACTGAAGTGAGGGTATTATCGACATTTTACACCACTAAGGGACCTGTTTGCACCAAATCGATAATATATGGGGTTTTTTTTACCACACATGGATTGATATGCACTATATCAATATCAGAGGGAGTTTTCTGCACTTCACCCTTGATTTAATTATTTTGGTTAGCTGTGCAGTTGGTTACAGTGATTATGTCAATTTATTCCTTTGGTTAGATTGAATGCATAAATCCAAAGAACCCATAACTCTGCGTGTGCATATATATATATGTGTGTGTGTGTGTGTGTGAAAATGAAGTGTAGTGCTACTTGATATATTTAGTAGTGCTGTTATTGGATTTTTTTGCCCTTATTATCCTCTAATTTTGGTTTGGATTATGGGCTTGATCACTCTATCAAGGACGAGGAATTGACAATTGATTGGGACAAGGTAAGAAAAGAGAGCCGACAGAGGAACAGAAAAATCTTTGGGACAAGTAAGAAAAGATTGGCAGTATTATAAATGAAAGATGAGAACAGTGATAGAGGGAGAATGCTATTGATTTTCTAATACAAAATCATGTACAAATTTTATATAAATAGATATATATATTTTTGGTGATATAAGTAATAAATTGCCATTGGCTTGTTGATGTGCACCATTCAACTAATGTAAATAATGGGCTCCAAAATTTAAAGGAGGTGAAACAGTTAAGGATTCTAATTTAAAGGAGGTGAAACAGTTAAGGATTCTATATATATATTGGAACCCATTATTTACATTAGTTGAATGGTGCACATCAACAAGCCAATGGCAATTTATTACTTGCATCACCAAATCGATTAGACTTGATTCTTTGGTGGATACAATTTTGGTGTTATTATTATTATTACAAATTACATGCTTACAATTTGATTATAATTAACGGGTCAGTGACTTAGTAATATCGATCTTTTACTTTTTAAATGGAGGTCAGAGGTTCAAGTCCTAATAAAGATGTGTGTGCAAGTATTAACTAGAGAAAAAAAAAAAAAATGATTATATAATATTAAAATTGTGGGCCTACTATAATATAGAACAGGCAGCTACTAGACAATATAGTTATTTCAATTTGAGGACAAAAAAGTTATTTTAATGGTAGAACAGTTTCCACGAAAATGTTTTGTCCAGATAAAAAAATTCTTTTATTATTAAAAGTCCTTCCAAAATATAGTTTTCAAAAATTATAGATAACTAAGCTTTCATTTCTCATTTTCTTCTACATAAAAATAAAAACAAAAACTATCCAAGTGAAAAAAAGAAAAAAAAAAACTAGACCAAAAATATCTGAACAAATAAAATCAGATAAGTGTTTTAATTCAAAATACTTGCCCAAAAAGAAAGAAATAAGTAATAAGTCCAAGAGACTATACGTCATGGCTACACATTAACAAGCTAATAGCAATCTATTACTTACATCACCACACTAATCAGACTTGATTCTTTCGTAAATATAATTTTGGTGTCATCATTTTTATTACGAATCGCGTGCCTACAATTTGATTATATAATATTATAGTTGTGAGCCCACTATAATATATAACAGGCAGCTACTATTTCAAATTGAGGACAAATAAGTTATTTTAATGGTAGAACAGTTTCCACAAAAATATTTTGTCCAGATAAAAAAAAATTCTTTTATTATTAAAAGTCCTTCCAAAATATAGTTTTAAAAAACTATAGATAACGGAGCTTTCATTTCTCATTTTCTTCTACATAAAAACATAAACAAAACCTATCCAGATGAATAAAAAACAAAAAACTAGACCAAAAATATCTGAACAAATAAAATCAGATAAGCATTCAGTTACGTACAAATAATAAAATAGTTTTAATTCAAAACAATTGCCCAAAGAGAAAGAAATAAGTAATAAGTCCAAGAGACAATACATCATGGCTTAGATCATCCAATCCATTGTCTATTTAGTCTCTTCGCCTTATAATTTTTGAATTTTTTCTCCATCCTTCTATTTTGGGCGAGCCGGCGGAGTATCATAATTATGTTTTAAAAATTTTCTTATGTAATACTTGGATCTTCCGAGCTGATGTAGATCAATAAAATTTAAACACGTGTCTAAATTTTTAAATTTTTTAATAATTATTATTATTCAACTTCTATTCTGCTTTTTTCTTTTTTTCTTTTTCTATTTAAAAATTTTAAAATCCTTTTTTAACAAGACTCTCAGCCTCTTCTCTCCCTTCCCCCCTCTCCCACAAATTTAGGGATGGCAACAGGCAAGAATGAAGCAAGTTTACCTAAATTTATTCCCATCCCATTTGATTATTGGCAAGTCTACGCCCATTTCGTACCCCACAACGAGTTAAATTTTCATATCCATACCCTTTCTGTTGAGAAATATTGCGCCCAGTGCCAGCCTCAAGAACAAATTTTTTTATTTTACTTTTTAGGACTTAAGCCGATATTCTCTGTTTTTTGTCTTTCTTATTTGTTCCACTCTCTCACATATCTACTTTATGTATCCGCCTTTGTTTGACCCTGCTTTCTTTTTATTTTCTTATTGCACATGAAGACAAATTTATAAAAACTCCTTTTTATTCCAGCACAAGGCAAAAGGACAAAAAGCCTCAGGTTCAGGCATGCTAAACCTCTCATCTATGTGTTGAATGCATAAAGACAACCACATCATAGACGACTATCTGATGAAGCAAAAACACAAAGGTTTACATAAATCAAAAATCCTAAAAAATAAAGATGATTTACGACATTAGAATCACAAACTAGGTCACATAATTTTTTTTTTTTTTTTTTATAAGTGTTGTTTTTACGTTTCGAATATGTTGTAATTCTCATATTTTACACAAATTCTTACTCAAATTCTCACTTCTATTATTCAAATTCTCATTACTTATAACTTAATTCTATTACTGTCTGACTTTATTTTATATGACTTAAATGACAAACATAGATACATTATCAAACTATTCACTCATGATATCAACAAAGAGTCTGGAAGATCAGTATCAATCCTCTGCTCTCGTCGACGAGCTATATTCGCCCTAAAAAATAATATTTCAATTGACATGTGAGTGCCTGGATCTCATCCATATAAGAAATAAAACAAGTCATTATAATAATATTTCAATTGTCCTTTTCTTATAATCCTATCTTTCAATTCAATTTTTCTTTTCTTCTTTTTTCCCAAATTCCATTCAATTCATATATCTTTGTCGGTGATTTCATTTTCCCATTAAAAGTCAGCTCACCTTTTTATCATCTTCACTGAGTCTCAAATTTCGGCCACTCGATTTGTTTGTATTTATACAATAAAACAGTCAGTTGCCTCACTTGGGTTCTGACCCTTTTATTTCGGATTTGTAAGGACTTCCAACTTTCCAAGCTACTCTGAATCATCATCTCGTGAGTTTCAACTATTTCATGGTACGCTCTTGTTTTTTTTCTTGTTTTCATAAAACAGTCAGTTGCCTCACTTGGGTTCTGACCCTCTTATTTCGGATTTGTAAGGACTTTCAACTTTCCAAGCTACTCTGAATCATCATCTCGTGAGTTTCATCTATTTCATGGTACGCTCTTGTTTTCTTTCTTCTTTTCTTGTTTTTAATTCTTGTTTTAATCATTAAATTCAAAGAAAAATAAAAGACAGATTATTCTACCAAGTTCAAGCTATCAATGTGTGATGAAATAATTATGTCATTTTGTCTGTGTTTTCTTTTGACAACATTCCCTAAACCCCCATAATAACTGTCCTTGCTTTACAATTGAATTGCTTGAATTAGAGAACTAGAAATGGATATGATTTGTTATGAAATTTGGTTCTAGCTTTGACGATTTTGTAAATAATCTATTTGCTTTATAAAAATTTTAGCTATAGAAAAATTGCAGAACCAATTATAAGGTTCTTTGAAAAGGGTGAGTTATCTGTATGTATTAACTTTTAGTAGCTGTCTGTTGATGATCTTGTTAGTTAGAAATCTCCTTCAGGTTAAACAATATCATTAGGGATGGCAATGGGGCGGTTTGGGGGGATCTCATTCCCCATTCCCTTCCCCGTTTAATTTTTTCACCCTCACAACCGCCCCAAAACCCGCCGGGTTTTTAAAACAGCCCCATTCCCGTCTCCATTAACATAATCGGTTCTCCATAACCGCCCCAAATGGGGCGGGGTGGGGATTTTTGAATCTTTAAAGGTCTCCCTTTCTGTTTTTCCTTCTTTTGGTTTAGTCATCCCCTGTAGATTTATTTGGTTTGTGAGGAAATAGGCCTTTTTTTTTTTTTTTTTTTTGCCATATCCATTGTGGTCCTGCTAAAGGTATTATCCTTGGCACTTTTTGTGCAAAGTGGCCGCTGTCATAGCATTATCTCCCTTTCCGGCCCAAGATTTTGCCATCTTCTAAGAAGCATGGATGCTTCTATGAAGGTGTCATGGACATTCCGATATGTGTCCAACATTTCATGGCCGTGTCTATAATCTAAAAATAATTTTTATTATTTCGGACACTTGGCTGACACATCTCAAATACTTAGTCAACCCATTCCGGACACTCGTCTAACACTTCCTACACTCTTCCATCTTATATAAACAAACAAATGGCACGGCAATGTTGGAAACATTATGAACATATATTAAATGTGCAACATTTTTTCCTTTAAGAATTCTATATATTTATTTATTGCAGTCTTCCTCCCCTATAGATTTGCTTGGTTTATGAGGAAATGGGCTTTTTTTACTGGCCATCTTTTGCTATTTATCCACTGAGGGTGTTTATTACCTTTGGCAGTTTTGGTACGAAGTGACTGCCCTCATAGCATTCTCACTCTTCCCGGCCAAGATTTTGCCATTTCTACGTATTTATATTACATTATGAAAGAAAATTTCTATATATGTATTTATTTCAGTACTCCTCTCCTTTAGAGCTATATTTGTGTTTTAGCAATTTTATTGTCTAACCAGAGATTATTGAGATTCGCAGAAAATATGGCACATTGTTCTGGAGATTGGTTGCTTTCCTTGCTAATTCTCCTATTGGGTTTAAGTGTTCAAACTTCACAAGCTCCAATAAGTACTAAAAATGGCGTAAAATCGTCGGTCTTCCTATCTCCTAAGTTTGTACTGGAACCAGGATCAGTGGTAAACAAGTACTACTATGACATTGACTTTCCAAGAGGTCATATTGCCATCAAGAGTTTCAATGCTGAAGTAGTTGATGAGGCAGGAAATCCCATTCCCCTTTACGAAACTTATCTCCATCACTGGCTTCTTGTGAGATACTATCAGCCTAAAAGTGTAGAAGTTCCAAACAACGAATCTGATTTTATTTTCGTGATGAACACTGGTGTATGTGGTAGTGCTCTTGGGCAGTATTTTGGCCTTGGATCTGAAACACGAAGAACAGCCACACATGTGCCAGATCCCTACGGAATAGAAGTTGGTAATCCAGCAAAAATTCCTAATGGATATGAGGAGAAATGGTTGATTAATGTCCATGCAATTGATACGCGGGGTGTGGAAGATAGGTTGGGATGCACCGAATGCAGGTGTGATCTTTATAATGTTACAAAGGATGAAAATGGTAAACCTTTGACGCCTGGTTATATGGGAGGCTTGAGTTGTTGCTATGATCAGACACAATGCAGGGTGAGACGAGGCTTTGAAAGTGCCAAGAGAGGTCTATACATGAGATATACAGTGAAGTGGGTTGATTGGAATAAGTTCATTTTGCCTGTTAAAATATATATATTTGATGTAACCGACATGTGGAAGAAGTTAGATGATGGAGTTACAGAACATCATTGCCGGGTGAGTGAACTTTTCTTCTACGGCTTGAAGTCATAACTTTGGTCTAAATTATGCATCTATATATCAATAGAAAGGCTTCTAAAATTATGCTGACATCAGTTTTTGAAATTCTGACACTAAAAGATCGTCCCCGTATCAGAGCTATTTACAAGCCCTGAATTCCCTTTTTCCTTAAGTGCAAGTACAATTAGCATCCTTATCAGAGCAGATGCTCCACATAAGTGTATAAAGGTAGATTTTACAAATTAAGGTCTTGATTGCATACATAGAGATTATGTTGATTGTAGAGCTGTGACGATACTTGTTAAATTAGTTTGTAAGAGAGTGATTTGGGAGATAACTCCATTTATCATCATTTGCAGAAAAAAAAAAAAAAAAAAAAAAAAAAAAAAAAAAAAAAAAAAAAAAAAAGGGGAAATTAATGTTTAACTTGTTTGTTTCTTTGTCTTTTTATATTAGGTGGAGTATGAAGTTGCTGCTTGCACTGCCACTGATGGGGCTCATGATGCTTGCATTGACACCAAAAGGGTAAGCATCCCTATGCCAACTGGTGGTAATGTCATCTACGGTGTTGCACACCAGCATAAAGGGGGAATTGGTTCGACTCTTTATGGAGAGGTGATTTTCTAACTCCTTATTTCCAGTTTGTGTCCCATGTCTTCTTTTACTCTCATCAACTAGATTGGTCAATCTGATATTGTTTTTTCATAGTATGTTATCAGACTTAGCATCCTTAACTGCCCTCTTCGATGATATTAGTCGTTTTTTTCTACTGAGATGTATCATCAAATGATAGGTCTCACCGCTAATTAGAATTTTTTTTTTTCCTGTAACGATGAAACTTCTGAGGCTTGATGCAAGAGTAATATTCCATTCCCACATGAGGATTTGATGACTTCATTAATTTCTCAATATAAATTGTAGAAGATGGAACATGCTGTTATTTATTTATTTTCTATCTTTACATGGTGAGCAACAACATGAATGATTAATTACCTTGGATAAAATCATGACAAAATGGCGATCATTTATCCATAAAAATTTACTACAAAAGAGTATTATTGTAAGAATGAAAAAGTGGCTATCCCCTCATGGAACTGCATTTTTTTGTGAGATTTTTGTTTCTCTCTCTCTCCTTTGAAAGATGCTCCTTTACACCTTTGATTTAGATGAGCTAATTTGTTTGTGAATACTAGTTTGTTTTTTTTTTTATACCACAGATTACAAATTCCTTTAGTAAATTTCTTTGCCATAGCATGTAACTAATTGTCCTCCAGCCTTTCACCCCGATCCAAGAGTTTGATATCGTTACCTTGATGTGATTATTGAACATTGACTAATATTGAATTAGGATGGACGGGTAATATGCCATTCAACACCGACTTATGGAAAAGGAAAGAAAGCAGGAAATGAGGCTGGTTATATTGTAGGAATGTCCACTTGTTATCCTCAACCCGGCTCTGTCAAGATATCTCATGGGGAGACTCTAGTTCTGGAATCAAATTATAGCAGTGCTAAAAGGCATACAGGAGTAATGGGGCTCTTCTACATTTTGGTTGCAGACTCATTACCACATTTTGGTTGATGCTAGAGTAATCTTCCATTCCCACGTGAGGATTTGATGATTTCTTTAATTTCTCAATATAAATTGTAGAAGATGGAACATGCTGTTAGCTTCTTCTTCTTTTTTTCTTTTTCTTTTCTATCTTTACATGGTGAGCAACAACATGAATGCTTAATTATCTTGGATAAAATCATGACAAAATGGCGATCATTTATCCATAAAAATTTACCACAAAAGAGTATTATTGTAAGAATGAAAAAGTGGCTATCCCCTCATGGAACTGCATTTCTTTGGCGATCATTTATCCATAAAAATTTACCACAAAAGAGTATTATTGTAAGAATGAAAAAGTGGCTATCCCCTCATGGAACTGCATTTCTTTCTGAGATACAGATTACAAATTCCTTTAGTAAATTTCTTTGCTAAAGCATGCAACTAATTGTCCTTCTGTGATATCTTTACCTTGATGTGATTATCGACAATCGACTAATATTGAATTAGGATGGACGGATAATATGCCATTCAACACCGACTTATGGAAAAGGAAAGAAAGCAGGAAACGAGGCTGGTTATATTGTTGGAATGTCCACTTGTTATCCTCAACCCGGCTCTGTCAAGATATCTCATGGGGAGACTCTAGTTCTGGTAGCAAATTATAGCAGTGCTAAAAGGCATACAGGAGTTATGGGGCTCTTCTACATTTTGGTTGCAGACTCATTACCACATTTTGGTTGATGTAAGATTTTAATTTGGCCTTCATTTATAATTGTATTATTTTAGTTGGTTTCAATTTATCCCATCCAATGAAATTTGAACATGAAAAGATGAAATTACCCTAGCCTCTTATTTTGCTTGGTTCTTGCAGGAGCATGAAAAGATGACATTACCATATAATTGAATCAAACCGATCGATTACTTCGAACGGTACAAGCGTGGGTTGAGTTGATTTGCATTATGTGGCTGCATGGTTCTTCAGTTCAAGTTGGAAATGGATCTAAATCAGGTAGTCTTAATAGGGACTAAGGGTTGTGGGGATTTGTCGATCTTGATCCAAGTTCTAATGTATCAGGCTGCTTGACTTTCTTGTGGACTTCCAAAATAATAAAATCAACTTGTCATGATTAATACCTAACTCTTTTTTTCTTCTTTTTTTTTTATTTTATTTTATTTTTTTTTATATAGATATATATATATATATCTTACTTTGTGAAGCCAATTGATTACCTTCCTTCTCCTCGTCTTCTTAACAATTCATACGCAGATCTTAGGGATATCCCAGAATTGTTAACCAATTCCAATTCAGTAGCTTGAACCGAAGAATTTCTCCTTGTGAAGGCGTCATATGTACATTCTGCCATAACAAATGAATTATTGTGTATTTTCACAAACTCTATTTGATCAAGCATTAAGGCACCATTATTGGTCCTCATCTCAACCCTAGGGTTCTTTCTCATACCATTCCAATTGTCTTTAGCTCAAAATCATCGTTAAGAACAAACAATTGATACATCTCCGGCGGTTGTGTTTTTATTTTTTATTTTTTATTTTTTTACAAGGCAAGAAGTGTTAGAAGTTAGATTTGTAGATGTAGAGAGTCGAATTCTGACACTCCAAAGTCTACCGAAGACGCTAACTCACTGGACTATCGAGGCATCTGTTGTTAAATATATATTACAATGCTACTTTCTTATACTAAATCTAATTCTACGTCCATACTCACTATAAAATTTATAAGCATCCTCAACCAAATCAAAATCCACTCCATACCGAGGTTTCTATTCTATATTAACTGTCATCTTATTTATGGCAAGCCTAAAACATTGTTGAGATATTCTAATCAAAAAAATAAAAGAATATAGAAATCAGATATGATTTTGTCTGGCCACAAAATCTTAGATCCTATGGAACTATGGATATGCTATGAACTTTGGAAGTTCCAAGTGAATATCCAAACTAAATTCCAGATGGAAGATGGAATGGATCAGACGATTGAAAGGAGGCCTGAATTGAATCAAACAAAAAACAATGACCACTAAAGAAAGAACAAAAACAAAAATTAGGAAACAAGATTTTGTGTCAAATAATTGATGCATGTTCTCTTTGTTTCAGTATGGACAAAAATTTTCTTACGAAGCAGCAATGATAGATTAAAGATGCTTATTCACATCTTGGAGTCAAGCTGCCATCGAACTTGCTCGTGAGGGTGACCAATGCTGGGTATCCGAGACTTCATTACCATGCTCACCATAGTGGGCATGTCATAGCCAATGATTCCACTATTGCTAGGTTCACGTCTTCTCCACTCAGCGGCACTGTCGGAGTTGTTGAGTCACCCATAGTTGTGGCCCTCTGCCACGAGCGCAAGCTCAACCCTGAGAGCATATAAGCTCTCCACGTATGTTCATATTGTTGGGCACAGCGAAAGTTCTGATACCAATTTGTTAGGTAAAAAGTGAGCCAAACAAATATACTCACAATGAAGACAAATCATAATAACAGAAAGATATGAATAAAGATGAAAAGAAACACACCACAAGATAATATTTATACGTGGTTCACTGTCACAAATAGGGTTACGTCCACAGACGATGATGATGCGTATCACTATTTAGAAGAAAATTACAACTTGAAGAACGTTTTGGTTTTTCCAGACAATAATATCTCCTCACAACAAAACGTCACCAACCAAACGAAGAAAAGCTCACCAAATGCTCTCAAGAAAAGCTCACCAAACGCTCACTATACCCCAATAATTATACGGTTTTATATAAAAAAAGAAAACTCACCCAAAGACAAACTTCAATTATCTCTCTTGAAGATTGTACACACAAAAAGATTTCTCCACACAAAAAACTAATATAACTTATTTTGACTCTAGCCTCTCTTGATCAGAATATATCTCTGGGATCTTTAAAGGATCTCACCAGGATTTACCTGGGATCACCGTATGATCTCCCCATAAGATTACACCGTGATCTTGTAATATTTTTTATTTTTCCTATTTTCCATTTTCGAGTATTTTTTCGATTTTTCTGGATTATTTATTTACATGTTTGGCCTTTTTCTCTCTAACTTTGACGATTTAGGGTTTTGGGGTTCTTGAGGTCTGCTTGTCACTTTCGACAAGGCCGCCAGCGGCGAGCACTGGTGGGTTGAAGCCATGGGGGAGGGCTCTTCCTCCTCTATATTGCCAATGGGGGCTACTTTACCCCATGCCAATGGCGAAGTTTCTTTGATACTGAATCACAAAAGAAGATGGAGATGCTTCCATATTTACCTGAGTGCAGAGGTGCGAAGGTGATCAAGATCATGGAAGAAGATGTGATAGAGGAAGTTGAATACTGGAAAAACTTGCTGGTAGGTTATTTGGTTGGGAAGCGCCCTTTCTTTCCACACTTTAATGATTTCCTTAAGAGGATTTGGAAAACTGCAGGCAGTTTTAAATTGATTTCCCTTCCAAAAGGGTTCTTTATGGTGCGGTTTAGTAATGAGAATGTTGCGCACTCTATTCTTCAGCGTATTCATACTTATCAGGGTCGTCTTATGATTCTGAAACGATGGGATAAAAATGTTAATCTTGAGAAAGAAGTTCTTGGCTCGGTTCCTATATGGGTACGTTTGTTTAATCTCCCTATGCACTGTAGAGGTAAAATGTCCATTGCTAGGGTTTGCTCTCAATTTTCCAAACCATTGTATCCTGATGAGGCTACTTTAGCCTGTGAACGTGGAGGTTTTGTTAAGGTTATGGTAGAGGTTGATGTGCATGACGATCTTCCGGAGGTTGTTCATATTGATATACATGATACTGAATGCGAGGTATTCATCGAGTATGATGGAAACCTAAGTTATGTAGGAAGTGTAATGGTTTCAACCATTCGGAGTCCAATTGCACTACGTAAATCTCTAAGAAGAAACCTGTCACTGAATGGATTGTCAAGCAAAAGGGAAAATTGGTTCAGTTGGAAGAAGATATAACTAGGGGGCCTATTTCTGAGGCTGAAACGAACACTTCTATTATTCACAAGGTGAAATCAACATCTATGGTGCATATTCCCTTGGAGGAGGAGACATCGGCGAATTCAGAGGGAAATACTGGCAAGGATGTGGATTCTATTCTGGCAAGAGTGAATGCTCCTTTAACTGAAGGGACTCCTGTAGAGTCTATTGCAAATACTAAGAGGGCTTTGATCCCTTATCAAGTTGAGAATGGTCCAGGTAATAAAAGTGATGATGTTGAGAATTCTGTTGGTGATGTTGCAGTAGTGGCTACCCCTTTAGTCACTCTACCCGTGTCTCCTATTCCTTTGGGAATGCTTGGTTTCATATCTGATTCTCCTGTGGCCTCTACTGGAGATAAAATTGTTCCAGTTGAAAGATCTCTTACTCCTACCTTAACTAAAAGTCAAAGGAAAAGGCAAAGGAAAAAGGCTGCTGAAATTGAAGCTAGTTCTATAATTACTAGAGGTATGGTTGCTGGTGGTGTGGTTCCACCATCCTTGAATCTTTGACGATTGGTTTGTGGAACGTGAGGGGGCTCAACAGGAGAGGAATGCAACAAGAAATTCTCTCTTAGGTCAGTAAAAACTCTGTCTTTGGTCTGCCTTGTGGAGACCAGAGTACAGAATCATAAATTTGTTAGAATCAGTAGTCGTTTAAGGGCTGATTGGCTTTGGTGTCATAACTATGATGCAGTGTATGGAGGTAGGATTTGGTGTGGGTGGAATCCACTCATGTTTGATGTGCAAATTTTGGAAGTTAAAGCTCAAGTTATCCTTCTCAAACTACGGATTAGAAGTAGTGGTGTTCAGTTTTGGTTAAGTTGTGTCTATGGGGAAAATACAGTGGACGAAAGGAGGGATCTGTGGAATTGTTTAACTGATATGGCAAATATAGTTTCTGGTCCTTGGCTGCTCATTGGTGATTGGAATGTTATTCAGAGTAATAGGGAAAAGCTTGGGGGGAAGTCTGTTCCTTAGAGAGTTCTTAGAGAATTCAATGATGTCATTGATTCTTTAACTCTTACTGATATTCCTTTCTCTAATGGCATTTACACTTGGTGTAATAATAGGCGAATTGCCAAACGAATTTATTCTAAACTGGATAGAGGCTTGATGAATGAAGCTTGGTCTAATTCTATCCCTGCATCAAGAATTGATCTCACATCTTCTCTTCTTTTGGATCATTGGGGTTTATGTGTCAGGATTCCTATCAATGTAGCTGCTGGTCCTAAACCTTTTAGGTTTTTAAGGGTGTGGCATTCGCAACCTGTGTTGAAACAGGTGATTGCAGAGGCTTGGTCAACAAGGGTTAATGGTGATCCTATTGTTAAGGTTGTCCAAAAGCTAAGGGCAGTTAAAAAAGCTGTCAGAGTTTGGAATACAACCAAATTTGGTTCAGTAAATGAGCATCTTATCTCAGCTAGGACTAATCTGGAGGAATGTCAAGTTGCATTATCTAATGAACCAATGTGCGCAGAGAGAATCCATAGTGAAGAAGAGGCTAGGAGGAATTATGAACATGCTTTGTCTAATGAAGAGATCTTGGTTTCTCAAAAGGCTCGAATCAAATGGAAAAAGGACCTTGATAGAAGCTCAAAATTTTTTTATCAGAAAATCAAGGCTCACAGAGGTAACAATAATATTACAGGTCTTACACAAGCTGATGGAACCTTAGTGCAGGATGATAATGGTATTAAAGATCTGTTATTACAACATTACACTTCTCTGTTCTCTTCTAGAGAGCACGTTAATTCTCCTGATGCTGCCTTCATTAGAAGAACTCTTCTTGGGGAAGTTGTTGACAACTTGGAAGTCAATATTTCTAGAGATAAAATTAAAGCGTCAATTCAAAGTATGGGATTGGATATAACCCCTTGGCCTGATGGTTTTACTGTGAGGTTTTTCAGGGAGTACTAGGGCATTGTTGGTGAAGATATTAATTCTGCTGTGTTGCATTTTCTTCAATGCTCAGTCATAGATAAAGGGCTTAACAGCACCTTCATTACTCTTATTCCTAAGATAAAGGTAGCAAACAAGATTGGGGACTTTAGGCCTATTGCTCTTTGCAATGTCATCTATAAGATCATTACCAAATTGTTGGCTAATAGATTGAGTGTTGTTCTTGATCAAATTGTGGGTAAGGAACAAAATGCTTTTGTCAATGGTAGGAAAATTCAGGATAATCTCATCATTGCCTCTAAATTATTGAGAGGCTTTGGAGCTAAGCATACTTCTCCTACTTTAGCTTGGAAGGTGGATCTTCGAAAGGCTTATGACTCAGTTCAATGGGAGTTTCTGTTTAGTCTTCTACAGCTCTATGGCTTTGAAAATAAATGGATTTGGTTGGGTTAAAGTAGCAGTGACAACTGTTCGATTTTCTATCATGGTGAATGGAAGTCCACATGGTTTCTTTTAACCTTCAAGAGGCCTTAGACAAGGTTGTCCACTTTCCCCTTTGCTCTTCACTTTGGTCACTGAATATTTATCTTCCATGTTTGAATTTGAGTGTCTAAAGGGGAACTTAGTTGCTTCTCCTGCTGCTGTCAAGGCAAATTGTTTGGCCACTCACCAATTTTTTGCTGATGACTTACTTGCGGTTGTGAGAGCTAATATAACTTCAGTATTCACTTTGCGAAGGATGATGAAACATTTTGAAGAAGTCTTTGGCCTGGCAGTTAATAAAAAAAAAAATCAGAAGTATATTTTACAAGGTCTGTTAAGAGGAAGAATACTGTGCTGAGAATTTTGGGATGCAGACAGGGGTCTCTCCTTTTTACTTATTTAGGCCTTCCTATTTCTGACAGAGGAATTAGGAGGTTGGATTGTAAACCTTTGATGGATAAGGTTGTTGCTGCAACTACTAGATGGGCTGGTATGAACCTTTCAATGGCAGGTCGCATTGAGTTATTAAGGGCTGTGGCTACTCCTATGGTTTTATACTGGTCTTCAGTTTACAGTATTCTTGCTACTGTCATTAACTTAATTGAAAGAAGGATGAGAAATTTTGCTTGGGGGTATAATGAGATCAACTTCAAGTTGCATAGCATGTGTTGGAAAAGAGTCAATTCTCCAAAAACAGAAGGAGGTTTTGGTTTGAGGCAAATTAGTGACATTGATAAAGCTGCAAAGTGTTCTTTAGCTTGGGACTTCCTTCTTTCGAAGGATAGGTTGTGGGTAGCATGGTTCAACAAACGCTATTTAACTAATGCTTCCTACTGGTCTGTTATTCCAAAGGTTAATCATTCATCCATTTGGAAGAGCATTGTATCAGTTAGAGATACTCTTAAGGTACAATGTTCTTATCGTATTGGCAATGGTGATAAGATTAAAAATTTTATGGATCCATGGTGTGAGGGTCAATTTTTATCAGAGGTTTTCAGTTATAGAACCTTGAGACAAGTATCCTCTAATAAGCAGATTGATTTGAGCAGTTTCATTGTTCAAAATCAGTGGCAGTTCGATGATGTTCCATTTGTTGTTCAACAATTTTTCCAACAATTCAGGATTCATGGTGGTGAGGACCAGTTATTGTGGAACAATAAATCTTTTACATTCAAAGCTGCTTGAGACTCTTGCAGGGATTCAAAACCTAAAGTTTCTTAGTTTGGTTTGGTTTGGAATGGGGGTAGACCTCGATGGTCTGTGTATAGTGCTTTGATTATTCAAAATGTTGTCCTAACAAGTGCTAATTTGCAGCGTAGAGGAATCTCTTTAGCTTCCAGATGTGGCTTGTGTGGCTGCAATGAAGAACATGTTGATCACATGTTTGTGAAATGTGTGTATGCTTGGGAGGTCTGGTGTGGCTTGGCTGGTATATTTCATTGGAGTGTTCAAAAGCTGAACTCTGTTATCTCTTTCGCTGCTGACCTGCAAGCTCAATTTTACATTAAATCTTGCAGGAACAAAGTGCATAAGATGTTGTTTACAGCTTCTATGTATTATTTATGGAATGAACAGAATGGTAGACTTCATACTGATGTTATTCGATCTCCCTCATTCCTAGTCAAATGCATTGTCTAGGATGCTCTTGATATTGCTAGAATTAGTCTTCAAGATTTTTTAAGTTCATAGGAGTTTAAGGTTGTTGCAGGTTTTGTCTGCTCTTCCCTAGATGTGCTTGTGTGTCTTAGTGAAGAAATGTCTTCACTTTATTCTTGTACTATATTGTTTTATCTTATAAAATTTTTCTTCATTTAGGAAAAAAGTTTTGCCTCGTTTTGCGTGCCAGACACCGTGAAGTGTGCTGGTTGAGTTCCGAGAGTTGATTGGGGCATTTTTTTGAGTTCGGGACTTTTAGAAATGCATCGTTGGCATTTTTTAGTTTTTCAGGCCGGGACACACAATTGGTTTTGTGGTGCACAGGGATTATTTTTTAGAACTGTTCCATTTCATACATTATTAATTATTGCATGTTTATGTGGATACATGTTTGAGTGAGTGGTTGTAATATGTTTAGTGTGTGTATATATATGTGTGCGTGATAAAAAGGGATATTTTATTTTGTGTGGGTGTAGACACTAAAATTTTAGTGGGATTTGGTTTTGACAAATGGACCGATTAAATATGGGCCTAATATCTAATTAAGTTATTAGCCCAAGTTTGGTCCACTTAAATTATTTAATTAGTCAACTCAGATGGTTAAATATAAAAGTAATAATTCTTAATAAAATATATTTGGAATAATTATTTTTAAGGATAATTATTTTTCGTTTATTGCAGGGTAGACAGAAAAATTGAAAAGAGAAAAGTCAACAGGATTTTAACTTATTTCTGGGCGATTTTTTGGGCGATATTCTGAGCGATATTTTGACTAGGGTTTTCTTCAGGGAAGACGTCTCCAATAGAGGAGGGTCAACCCTCCTCATCTCCTAGGGATAGAGTAACAACCCCTCCTTCTTCCCCTCGCCCCACCCCCCAATTGTCTTCATGGACTTCACTTTTTTAGGGCTCCTCAAAAACTGGTTTCACACCGCTGACCTATTATAGTGAGATACGTAATACTAATTGTATGGTTATTGATGATACCGATATAGAAGATGAAATGCGATTTTGGGAGAATTCCATTGTTTGTTATGTACTTGGATAAAAGCCTTATTTTCCATACTTCAAGAATTACGTTCAAAAGCGATGGAATGAGAATGCAATAGTTGTCTCACTGAAAGATGGATTTTTTTAGATTCGATTGCCCAGTGAAGAAGATGTGATGCAGGTTATGTCCAGATTTCATACATTTCAAAGAAGGGCTGTGATTGTCAAGAAGTGGCATAAAAGTATATTATTGGAGAGAGATATATTGGCAACGGTACCAATATGGATGAATCTGTATGATTTACCCGTGCATGCAAGAAGTGGTACATCGATTTCAAAGGTTGTTTCAAACATAGCCAAGCCGATTTATATGGATGATATTAAATTATGTCGAGAAAGGGGTTTGTATGTTAGAGTACTGGCAAAGATGGAGGTTTCTGAAGGATTTCCAGATGTTATAAACACTAAGCTAAATGATTGCAAATGTAAGATTCAGGTTGAGTATGATTGGAAGCCAATATTTTGTAAGATGTGTAAGAGTATTGATCACAGTGATAAACTTTGCCCAAAGAACAATAAATCGAAGAAGATCGTCGAACAATGGGTGATCAAAAAGAGCACTAGCGTGGAGAATGTCGATCAAAGGGATGGTAAGAAAAGGTTCATGATTCAGTGGAGGTGATCTCAACACAAAAAGAGAAAGGAAGTTCTTCAAAGGATGAGGAAGGGTTTATACAAGTCACTTCTACTTCAAGATTAAAGGCTAAAGATAACCAGGTGTTGGTTGAACAAACTCAGGTGGTGTCGAATAATGCATTCCAACTGCTTGAAAAAGTCACTGTGAGAGAGGAAACAAGGGATCTAGAACCGGAATTTACAGAAATTATAAATAGTGTTAAAGATACGGTAAGAGAAGAGGCAAACAATGATACAGGGGAGTCGATTCAATCATCTGAAGTCATTTCTTTAGACGAAAATTCTCCTAGGGGATCTTCTAAGAAACAGAGGAAAAAAGCAAAGAAGAAAGAAGTTGAAGTTGATCTTAATTTGATAAGAGTTTACCAGAGGTATGGTAGCAGGTGGGAGTATCCCACCTCCCGTAATCCAATGATTGGGATATGGAATATGAGAGGACTCAACAAGCCAAGTATGCAGGTGGAAGTTAGGGCCTGGTTGAGTAAGTTTTCTATTAGTCTTTGTGGGTTGGTTGAAACTAGAACAGGTAGTCACAATTTTAGTACGATTGCTACTCGAATTAGATCTAATTAGACATGGGCAGGTAACTATAATGCTGTGGATGGTGGGAGGATTTAGTGCAGCTGGGATTCTTTGAGGTTGGATGTTCATGTTCTTGAATCCAGACATCAAATGATGCTTCTCTAGTTAGAGATTAGAGGGACTGCAATGAAGTTTTTTGTGACTTTCACTTATGCAGAGAATACTAACAATGAAAGAAAACAGTTGTGGATTGATCTCATGGAATGTGCTCAGTTATTCAATGGTCCTTGGTTGTTGATTGGGGACTGGAATGTTGTCAGGTATAATTCAGAGAAGAAAGGAGGAAGGTATCTTAGTCCTAGGATACTGCATGATTTCAATTATATCATTGATCAGCTAGGATTAGTGGATAGGCCTACCGTTAATGGGGTTTATACATGGTGTAACAACATGTTTCAGCATAGAAGGATTTATGCGAGATTGGATAGAGGGCTTATGACTGAAGATTGGACTGATACTTTTCCTAGTTCTCAAGTGTTTCTCACACCTCATTTGATATCAGATCATTGGGGTTTGTTTATCAAATTTCCAGTTCAATTAGCAGAGGGTCCTAAACCTTTTAGGTTTCTGTATTTATGAAATAAACAAACAACTATCACAAAGCTTATTACTGACACATGGAAGGCACATATCAGAGGCAATCCTATTCAGGGGTTGATGTTTAAACTTAAGCTTGTCAAAGCGGCAGTCAAAGTTTGGAATAAAGATAAGTTAGGTTCTGTGTATGAGAAGGTCATTGATTGTAGAAGGAGACTGGAGGATGCTCAGGTGCAGCTGGTTGACAATCAAATGAATGAAGAGTTGATTAATCAAGAGAAAAGTTGTAGGCAAAACCTTGAGGTTGCTATTTCCAATGAATCTACCCTTTTACATCGAAAATCTAGAATCAGATGGTTAAAGGGTCAGGATCGAAGCTCCAAATTTTTTCATCAGAAAATTAAGGAACATAGAGTGGGAAATAATATCACAGTTATTCAAAATGTTGCAGGAGATTTCATTCAAGATCCTGTCCATATCCAAGACCAGTTTATTCAGCATTTTCAAAGAAGGTTTACAAATAACAGACTAGCCCAGTTAACTCCAAGTATGGAATTCATCAGAAAGCGAATCTCATAGGAGGATGTTTTTTATCTTGAAAGGATGATTACTAGAGAGGAGGTTAAGTTTACTATTTTTTCTATGAGTCCAGACAAGGCCCCAGGGCCTGATGGATTTACTGTGAGATTTTTTCAACAGTATTGGTCTGTTGTAGGTATTGAATTCACTGATACAGTGTTATTTTTCTTTGATAATCCTTCATTGGGAAAGGGTGTGAATAGATTAGCTGGAGGAGGAGGCAGTACGAGTTGAAGACTTCAGACCTATTTCTTTATGCAATGTTTTTTACAAGATTATCTCTAAGATTATTGCAAATAGATTAGCTGGAGTGTTGGGGAAAGTTGTTGGGAAAGAACAAAATGCGTTTTTGAAAGGTAAGAAGATCCAAGATAATATTATCACTACTCATGAATTGATGAGAGGTTTTTGTACTAAAAATACAAAGCCTATTTTGGCATGGAAAGTGGATTTACAGAAAGCTTATGACTCTGTTCAGTGGAATTTTATTTTCGAATTGTTACAATTATATGGTTTTGGGGCCAAATGGATTACTTGGGTAAAAGAGTGTATTACCACTGTTTGGTTTTCTATCTTGATTAATGGCAGTCCTTATGGTCATTTCAAGCCTGAAAAAGGTTTGAGACAAGGTTGTCCGTTGTCTCCTCTCCTGTTTACTCTCATCACTAATTATTTTTCTGGTATGGTGGATGCCAGTGTAAGGGAAGGGAAGATTGTGAAGTGTGAAAGTGCAAAGAGGGCAGGTGTTGATGTAACTCATCAGTTCTTTGCTAATGATTTGCTTTTTGTGGTTAGAGCCAATATGGGAACTGTGATAACTCTCAAGAATATTATGGAGAAATTCTCAAACTTGTCAGGTCTTGTTGTTAACAAAGATAAATTTGAAATCTACTTAACCAGATTTGTGAGAAGAAAGGTCTCTATTTCTAGATTGCTTGGTTGTAAATCAGGTTCTCTTCCTTTTACTTATCTTGGGCTTCCTATCTCTGACAAATTATTAAGAAGGAAAGATTGCACCAGATTGTTAGATAAGATTAATGCCTCTACTACTAAATGGAATGGCTTGAACATTTTGTTAGCAAATAGAGTGGAGCTGTGCAGGGCAGTTGTTGCTCCCATGATACAGTATTGGACTTCAGTATATA